TCCCTTTTTGTGAGACCCTGATTCCGAAAAAGCGGATAATTCTTTGTCTTCTAACACGTTGTATATTCAGAATACACGATCTAGTACTGAAAAATTAGTTTACGGCAGAACCTGTCTATCTGTGGACAACACTAGCACGTTCATGGATTTCTACTTTTGTGTTACTCGGAATCTAGCATATCGACATGTCACAAATGTGTGATATTGGCTCTCATCAAGTTTGTAAGATTTCAGATTACGTGATACTCTCCGTGTGCGAGAACAATGATACACCCGGTGGATGTTTCATGTTCATGTGAATGGTAACGTGTCTCTTGTTATGTGTAGTAAAGGGGAAAGTTAAAATTATTTCGTAATTTGACAATATCTAGTAGAGTCGTTGGTTGTATTTCTATATTTTTTTAATTTCATATTTTTATCGTGTACATTCAGAGTGTATGGATATGTGCCGCTCGGTTGACTATTTTTTTAAAATTCCTTACATGTCTGGTTTACCTCCATCCATTATACATTTTGAAATCTCGAAGCCTGACTCCTGTAATTCATTTGAAATTCATAGTAGAAAACTATTTTTTTACTGTCCTAAGCTCCTTATTCGCTTCTGTAAGATACTACAATTTATCTTTAATAACGAAATTTGGTATGTACTGTAGCGGTACAGAATTATTCAGATAAATTCTATTGAGTAAAGCAGACCTAAGGCTTTTTGTACTGAAGAAAAAAACATACGGCGTCACGCGCGCAGCCCCTTTCTTGCAACGGCCACGGTCCCCTGACCCTTTTCGAAGGTTTATGGCACCCACCCAACAACCGACAAAGGGGGTCAAACTGTAAAGCGCCCGGCGGGAGCCCACAGCTGGAATACTTCGCAACGCCTGTGCATCGTAATCGGGGAATCCCAGAGGCAATAATTCAGTAGCTGGGAAGCACCCTCAGAGACATGACCTACTTTAGAACAGAGAACGGAAAAATTTCTATCCTCGCGCCGGAGCGCCTATTAGCCAATTTAGTGTAAAACGCCATCACCTTAGCAATAGCGAAGCGATCTTTGTAGGGAGCATAAAACATATGAGGAGAAGGGTGGGATGAGAGATAGAGTTAACTCTGGCTGTTTAGGGAGAATAAAGTTACATTAGAGGAGAGAGACTTCTCTGGGGTGGGAGCGCGTCGCGGAGAGAGAGTGGGTGCACCTCTAGGACTGGATTCACTTGAAGTTTATTAGAGAGGAAGTGCAGGCACTTACGGGGGATGGATTCTTTTTGTTTCATACTGTTCTCTTTAGCATTTTTTTATCATACAAAATTCGTTCGATTCGCTGAAATTTGTTCGAGAGGAAACGCGAGACGCTTCGAGAGACAATCTCTGGGTGCTCCGCACTTGTATCGGGGTCAATACACCCCGGACATTTACGACTCCGCCGAAGCAGCTCAGACGGCCTTCGTGACGTCACGGACCGCCGCAACGCCGCCAGCCGCGCCCACGCCCTGCTGAGGCGTGCCCGGCCGCGTACTGGAAGACCATCCGGCCGCCCACCAGCTGCCTCGCGCGTCGCAAGGGCCTACTGAGCACATTTGTCACGGAGGGTTTCCAGGCAACGTAATCAGGGTCAATAAGCCCTTAGAGCTATTGTTAAAGCGGTGCCGCGCTGAGGCACAGAAGGTCCTCAGGGACAAATTTGTAATTGTAGCTATAGAATAATTTTTGTACCACTCTTCTTAGTTGTAAGTTCTTCATATTTCTAATCTTTATTTATTTTATTCACTCATTTTCTTTTCATCGATGTAACTTCCCTGGTACAGCCCTGTCCAGGAATAAATGTTGTCTTTTACCACGTAACCAATATGTTTGTTTTGAATGCCCATGCATGCTTTAGCGTACAATGCCTTCCATCATGAATCATATGAGTGAGGAGTAGGACCGATGAGGCTAGAACCGGGCCGCTAACCGCGCGCGTTTCCCTACGCAGCGCGTGTTGGTTGTTACAGTACCTACCCACATTTAACACTTTTCTTTTATGCCTCTATTAAGGTGTCCTATGGTTTGTTTTGTCCACTCCGTGATTAGTGTTTTGGCCTTGCTTGCTTATGAGACGGACGTGCTCTGGATGTGCTCGAATATTTTTGACTTAATTTTCATTACTTTTCTACATCTACCAGGTACCTTTTGTTGTTATTTGTTTTCTTTACTTCCTTCCTTGTTACAGATATGCTGAAAAGAGATTTATATTGTCCCAAGCATTGAAAAAGAAGTAATACAGATATTGGTTTACAAACGGTGTAACAAATAAACGGGTGTTCGATCGCGTTTAAAGATTTCCAAAACTTATTTGCTCTAATAATTAATTTAGATTTGCGTGACGTTTTAAACTTTTAGTGAAAGTGTTTTGATAATTGTGAAAAACATCAAAATTTGAAGTTTCATCTATAACACTAACAGAAACTTAAACTTTGTGTTTCAAATTGCCGAATATAAAAGTGGTGAATTTCGTGGCCAAATGTAAAGTATAGTAATCTAATTATATTTAGTAGTTTGCAGCTTAGATCTATTACTTTAAACACATTGAAATTCTGTTGCATTTAATTAATCAATCACGTTTAAATACTGATTAGAACCACATACCTATTATTTTTCAAATCAATAAGTAACTTAAATAATTTAATACACTTAAATTAAAGAGATATTGGTTTAGGAGATACTATCAACATTAGTTTGTGTTCTTATCTATTTATTTATTCTCATATTTACTACGTATTTTGATACGCATTTGTGACAGAACTACTATTCAGTATACAATTTCTACTCTATAAACTCTCAGAGCCGACCTTCCGAAACCCTTCACACATATAAACAATGATTTAGATTAACATATCCAAAGGCTCGAAGAGGTCGTTCAAAATACAGTCGGTTGGACAACAACTGGTACATTCAACCTATATCAATTATTGTTATAAATATTAACTATAAATCAACAAATAAAAATACCTTTTAAATTCACCATAAATTAAAATTTCTTTGTATGGAAATATCAAGTCGGCTGAACACTATATCGGTAGTTTTCACCGAGAAAAATCTTTGCTGCGCCTCTTTATAATTTAGGATAGTTTCCGAGCTTCAAGAGTGGGTGATCACTTCGGAAAAGGGGACGTGGCCGAAGATAAAGGCGTCTCCACACATTTGGCATTTAGCGAGTAGCGGGCGACCCTCGCCGAGTTCCGAGCAGTGGGGATGAGATGCTATTGGCCGAGAGCAAAACGTGCGGTGTTCTCCCTATAACCCGCACCGTGACGGTCTTCTCGGCTCATGAGAGGAAGTACACACATGCTGAGTACCTCGGCTGCTCGGCAGTCGGAAAGCAGACGCGCTTTACTCCCCCAATGTCGGAGCCGTGGTAAGACTCAGTGCGCCCCTCGCATCCTTTGTCATCCGAGGCTGCCTCGGGCCAGGGGCGGTCCAGACAGTATTTGAGGGAAGGGGAGAATTTACGTTCTGACCTCCCTTCCAAAAATACTTTTGTATTAAATAGATTTTATAGGAAAATATTTTTAAGGAAATATTAGTTTGAAATTAACCTACTGGGGCAACAGCAACACGTACTTTTTCGCTTTAATGACTGCTACGTAAAATTATAATACCGCAATAATGTCCATATAAACAGACAAATAGACTTTTGCCGTCAATCGAAATTTTCAGTATCAGGGCAAAACATGCATTCTGACTACACAACGTGTTAAAGGAAGTCTTTTCCTATGCGTAGGTTCATGGCGTAGTTTCACTTTCTCATTTCCAGGGCCCCACAAAAAGTTTTTCTGCCGAAGGGTCGCCGTTTTCCGGTTCACGATTACAATACTTTCTCTTACGAAGTGAGACGAGGAGGTAAAAAGTGAAGATTCGTAACGGACAAACTTCTTTTTACATGAAGCGATGAATATTGCATTTGATTTAACTATAGTCAGATTACAGAAACATGCAGGCTGTGCGGCACGGAAATTGTGGCGTCGTAACACGAGGGCCCGATCCGTTAGGGCTGTGAAAGGCTGCTGCAGGCAGATGCATGCTCGTTGTAGGGAGAGAAAGACGGAGCACTTACGCTCCTAGTTTTGCGGTTTGGCAGCTGACACAGACAGCGCGGCAGAGCCAAAAATATCTTTAGTGATTGCTTAAGTGCGAGCCTCCTCTAGCCGATAGCATGGGGGTACAATTTCCAGCTATTTAACGCGGCGCCATGTGCGCGCGCGGTCTCGTTCATTTCGGATCGGAGAGTAGAGTACGAGTAGGTGCGGGGAGAGTAAGATTGGTGTGGGGCGAGATATCACAGGAGTCTACGGCTAGACGATCTCGGGTGCTGTAGGCACGCGGTCCGCCGAACGGCGACAGTTTTTTTTCGTGGTGTGTGTGTGTGTGTGTGTGTTGCGTCAGGCCATGTGACTGGCTAATCTCGGGACGGACGTCCTACAGCGCGCATCACGCGTCGCTTTTCTGCGGTAAAGCAGGGTTACTGGGCGGTAGGACGAGGGACGGTTGCGGGCTTGCGACTAAGAGAAACAAAAGGTTGCCGGAGGTTTTTATTTTGTTATTAATGTAACTTGTTTTATCACTTTTAAATTTGTTAATATATTTCTCATTTTTTATTCGAAATTATTGTCTGTGTCTTATTCCACTACGTCACAATCATGGATGCGCCACTACCCCGCTCTTCCATACCGCCTCTCCCAGGGACCCGTCTCCTTTCTGGCTGTTTCGAGTCATTTAATGATTTCCAACGATGAAACTGCCATTTTGCTAAATTTTTATTTTTTTCTAAAACTTAATGTTTTTTCTTTGATACAAATTAACAAGTGAGTTAAATATTTACTTTAAAGTCACTAGAGGTTTAAATGTTTTTGGTTATTAAGAACGAATTGGGGTTGATGTATTAATTGTTACAAGTTACTTATTGAAATATAAGCTCTGTTATTACTCTTTTCTTCTTCTGGTTAATAATTAAATTAATTTTTCAATAGAATTTTTCAGGTCCAGAGTTAATGATAGCATGCAGTGCAACCTTGGAGACGGAAAATCAGTTTTATTTATGCGTTACCGAAAGAGCTGAAAGGATTCTGAAAGGAATACTGATGAGGAAGAAACTTCAACTAGAAAGAGAATTGGAGAATACAATACACAAGAAAGCAAGAACTTGGAAGTCGTATGGCAGTGAGAAAGACGTAGATGATGAAATTGTGAAAGTTACAAGACCGCTGGTCAGTCTAAGTTTTTCTTAAAGATTAATTATTGCAATTAAATAGCATTGAGGACAGCTGTGCTATCAGATAAAGATTTATGGTACTTCTCTTACGGCTTTGAAAGTATAATATTTGTAAAGGAAGTAATGTTCTGGACTTTTTGATCACAGTGAATTGCAACAAGTAAATTTTGATTGCACAATGATCCTCCTCAAAGGTCAGCTTCTTGGTCAATGACCCCCATTTCGATCAGGTTTTCATCCAGTTTCCCTGATATTTGAGCATCTCCTGAGATGGCTCCTTCTGGACATAAATATAACTTCAAACTAACTTTTCCCCATAGCACGTCACACACTGTTTTTGACGAAAATAAATAAATTTAAAAGTTTTATGTTTCACATTACAATACAGAATGTGTGCACAAAGGCTTGAAGACATTTTGACGTATGTGACTTTTCTCATCGGATCCGTTGGGACTTAACTGAAGGAAGAAAATATTTCAAGAATCGAGAAAAGTTAAAACAATTTTTCCTACCTTTTCGTGCAGGATTTCGCAACTAAAATTTTCGCAATTCTTTTTTGACGTTAAGACATTACACTGTAAACATGTACAATAATTCTGATTGTTATATTTCGCGGATTGTTCCTTGCTGAGTTTTCTGAATCAGAACTTAAATTTGCAAGTCAAGGTTTTCTTTGTTGACAGCACAATTTTCTGCAACTCGTTTCAATATATCTACATTTTTTATTGTAAGTTAACGGTTCAAGATATTAATGCAGTTTATGCAAAAGTTTGCAGATGGGTAGCTATTCGTATCGTTTTACGTGTCTTTGCCTTATAATTTTTGGTTGTGATATAAGATATATATTTCCATCAGTAGAACTGATACCACACACAGCACTCTATGAAGCCTCGACTGCAAATACCTAGTGAGATCTCCGTGAACTCACTTTCATGATTTTTATTAAGTTTCTCATGGATTCTTAGAACACATTCTGATTCTTAGAACGAATGCTGAGATTGCTCTTTGTTCTCATCTGGGCAGTACATGTAGTTTTACTCTTTCCCAATGCTAACATGCAATGTAAATTGTGAATTGTAATAAAGTGTACGCTTTCGAAATCAGAATAACTCTTTTGAGGTACGTTAGGCTGTTTGCACTTTCGCTGGCTGAGACCGGCTAACCTGCATGCGCGACTACCATGGCACTTACCATTCTGCCACCGAAGTGGCTCAAGGGATCGAATTTTCGGAATGTAGTTAGTAATCCCGCACTAGCAAATCTCTTGAGCCCCGACGTGCTAATCGATATGATTGGAGGAACCATGGTCGCCGTAGGACCGTACGGTGTCACCAGCTCCAGACCGTGTGTGTGGGCCGCCTTCCAGATGTAAAGCGCACATGTCTAGCTCATGCTCTTACGCCACTCAAACGAGCAAGGAACGGAAGGATATGATGAAAAGGGTGGTGTATGGTAGGTGCCACGCTCTAAATTGACACAACCCACGGGTGACAACCAATGCTATGCGGGTGTCGAACCTACGACCTGTCCAATGCTCGTTACTACACCCGGCCCAAATCAGAAAAGGTAAATTTAACATCCCCCTTCCCTTTTTTGCAGGGAGGGGGTGTGAGTAATAATTTTTATGCGATGAATTCGCTTCTGCGATTCGTTGGAAGATACCCACAGAAAATATTATAGTAAAAAACGTATAAAAATGTCAGTAATAAAATAGTTAATTACATCAATATTCTTCATGGTTGTTATTGGTTAAACTTGATGAAGTAGTCATATCATTATCTCAAACCGTTTTAACCTAGAAGCCGATTGAGGTGTGAAATATCACTTAACGTGCATTGCATGTATTGAATATATCCCATCTTTTATTTTACAGGGAAATCATTATTCGTATAGTAGGGACGACCTATTACATATTAAATAAAAAAATAACGATTTTCTGTTTTCACCAGCTTCATTATTAGTGTTTTATAATTAGGATAACTCACACATTAATCGGCTGTTTTCAGTAAGTTATTTTGCACTAAATATTTGAATGTGATCACGATAAATTATTCGCAAGGTAGTATACACTAATTACGAGTCATTGTGCTACCAACAACATATAATAGATAACTAATAATAGGTTTTCAACAGGTTGAAAAGGAAATAGCCATATCCATATCCAGTGAAAAGATGCAAATTCTCTTTCAAGATGACGATCCCGCAATGCTTAATAATGGATACGTAGAATGTGCTCGCAGAAGTGACATTATCAATGTCCAGAGGAAGCGATATTCTCAAGGGGTTCAAGTATGTTTGTTTTGTATATTTTTTTATTGTAGTGCTTTTATTTAAGGGAATAATGTGATTATTGAAGTGTTGTCTACCGTTAGTTATAGAAATGCATTTTAGCATAACTACACCATGGCGTTTGCATTTCAGGCATGCCCTTCAGTTATATCTACGACAGCTCAGACAAACCCTGGTTTTCCCACCAATGTATGGACTCAGTATGTATATGAGCCACAAATTAGTTCAGATGTTTTAAATGCTGAACTAGCCAAGAATATAACATCTTTTCAAAGTCATGCTGCAAAGTAAGATTTTATATTTTTTCATACAGTGAATGTAAATATGTGTCAAACTCTTAAAACCCGAAAGCCAATTGGACGATTTACTTATCATGGTCGATTACCGCACGGTTACAATACTTTATCTTTACTACTTACGTAGTAAAAACGAAGTAAAATGTCGCCACTTGCGGGTTCGTGCAGTTTCAATTGCACGATCTCGCAGAGGTTTGCTATGGGCCTTGTGCAAACGTATTTTAATTTACTTTTTGTCGTAGAGCATGCCTTACTCTTACCTTTTACTTAGAGTTCATTTATCCTCATCGATTCAAAGAGGAATCAATAATACTTTCAAGATATTTAATAGTATCGTGGTTTTTGCCACAAATTTCTTTGTAATTATTCGTGTAGCCCAGTAGACTCCTATTTGTGGGACCTGCGCTCAAGTAACCAAGCCGTTACAGACCTATTATCGGTATCTTTCGTTCTAGATAGTGGCAGTGCCGGACCTAGCACTTGCCGGCAACGGTCTCGGCGCCTGGTACCATCGCACAGTAGGGTCGGAACAGAGTTATATTCACGTCTGCCACCAGTCCCATCCCCCTTGATCTCGAATTACTGGCAGTATGCTACTTTCAGGCTGTTCCAAGTTTGACTGAAGCGCGAATAAAAAAACAATATTGTCTAAAATTTTTAAAAAAAGTACACAAAATACCAGTGGCGGCATGTTTGCTAGTCCCCGCGTGCCATGGCACCACCAACAAAAAGGAAGGATAAAAAAATCACCACAAAAATGTATATAAAATATCCTTTCTTCAAAACTGCATTTATAGTAAATCATTTGAACGAGCGTTAAGTCCTTCGATGGTATATCAATACTCTCTTCGAACGTCCACGGCGGAGTGGGATGCTATCTCTCGGCCTGTTTCGAGGACGCTGAGCCACCTACGGATTGGCACTGTCTATGCGCATTTAACGCTGTACAAAGAATGTTGGGTTGGGTTGTACGCATCTCTTGTGGATAAGGAGGTGTTAAAGTTGAAGTGGCACAGTAATTCACATTGTGCTCCATAGAGTGCGCCAATTGCACGATCTTCATCGAGCAGGCTATATCTTGCTCAGGGTGACCCTATGCCATGGTATTTCGTACGTATTTCCATGTGTTTCGCATATGGATAGGCGACGTACGCCGTCGGTGTAAGGGCTTTCCTCTTCTTCTCGTACCTTTCTTCCACGAAGTCAGGGAGCTCTGATTTACTGAGATTACCGTGAGTGCTCAGGCTTTCAGTTTGAATTTTGTTGTTGTAATTATTATTACTATTACTATTACTATTACTATTACTATTACTATTACTATTACTATTACTATTACTATTACTATTACTATTACTATTATTATTATTATTATTATTATTATTATTATTATTATTATTATGTATCTTAATTTTGTTCTTATTATGTAGTTTATTTTCAGTTTAATCTTCATTATAACGTACTAATAAACACGGTCACTAAGATAAAATTTTGTTGCCCTGGAATTTATTTTAGAAATTACTACACCTGTTTTAAAACTTCGCATCGATATTTAGAAACATCAATGGTTTTTGATCGAAGTATTATTAACATCGATGTTTTAATTTTGAACAACGATAATTGTTGACATCGATGTCGCATCACAAACTCACACTACCAGTAGAATTTCGTACCGGCCACCACTGCAAAATTCTATGTCGAGGACGAGGGCATTTCCCACTATGATTTATACGGAATTGCGTGGCAATGCGGATGGCCGAAAAATGTTAGGAAAATGTATATTTAAGATTTTGAGCAATATTTTTGTTAAATATAAGGGACATTATTGAAAAAGATAGATAAATAGAAGTAAAGTATTTGCACATTGGCAAGGATCAGGGAGGGAAAAAAACCCTCGATTTACTCGATTCCAATGTGTTGACAATTGTGATTCAGTATGGTAATATACACGTATATTATGTCATTCAGGCATTCGTTATGGAAATACAACAGTTGTATATATCCTTGTATATCGAGAATGTCAAAAACGCTACTGTCCTTAACGCATCACGAGAATTGCAAATATTGCCACCAGGAGGAGGGCGCCTCCTGGCGGCAGAGCATGTGAATTCATTCTTCATGAGAATGAGTTAAATAACTTTAATTTGACAGTCAAATTCAAAACTATTTCAATGTTTTGTGATTTTTATTCGAGATCCTGGGTATCTTACAACACCATAGACACATCTGAAAAGACTGGAGGCGGCATACATTTCCACCAATTTATGCGAATATTCGAAAGTAGTATAATATTGATAATAATTTAATATTCGATTCATCAGTAGCAAACTTTCAGTTGCCATTGCTTCTTGAGAAATTTTTGAGAGTTATTTTACTCTCTCATGTATACGTAGAATAGAGAAAGTTAAGTAATTCTGCAATAAATCAAAATTCAGATTTTCATTAAAATATGTGTTGGGGATCCCTGACTTTCTGCCCGTCCGTCTGTCTGTATGTCAGCCCATGTAGTCGATGTAGTCGGCCCATGTCGGATCGTCTGCTCGACTGTCTCTGTCAGTCAACAACATTAGCTCCTACACCAGGCCTGGGGAGGTTCGCGTTCCCCAAGCCGGCTCGCAGCTAGGAATCGTAATCCAGCCGCAAGGCGGTTGCCTTCGCAAGATCCTGCCAGTTACGCCGCCCTTTCGCAAATGCGAAGGAGTAACAATTGTTCTGTCGAAAGGAGAGGAGAATAAGAATAAGAGCAGTTCTGACGAAAATCCGCCGTTTTCCGACGAACGATTACAATATTTTCTCGTCTTACATTCGTAAAGGGGTGAAAGCAAAAATAACAAGAACAACGGACAAACGTAAGCCTGAACACCCAGGGTCATCTCAAAGGATTAGTCCTTACTTCGCGGAAGAAGGGTGCGAAAAGACGGGAAGAGGACCTATGCCCACGGCGCATATGTTGAATGCCCCTTCATGTGCGAACTAGAAAACGATATGAAGGCATCCGGGGCAATTCGGGCGAGGGATAGTCTGCTGGATGAATGTAATGCACTGTTCGTTTGCTTCACAAAACCCAAAAACTGATCAGCTATTATTTCATGTTTGAACTTTGACGAAATTGCGATTATGGTAATTTTTCATTTATAAACGAAGCATCGAACACAGAACATGGATGTTAAAAAACATCAGCTTCAATACATCCATGTTTAAAACATCGACATTACTATGAAAAACATCAATGTTTTGAAAACATCGGCATGTTCGACCACTAACGCAGCTGTACCTCATTGAATTTCATCAAAATGGATGTCGTCCGACTGGTCTGGCTGAACTCTGACCCTGTGAATTTCAAACATCTTTTCATCATTATTATCATTAATCTTTTCATTCATTTTTTCATTTCCCTTATTTAGGACCCGTGGGATATTTTTTCAAATATTGCTCAAAATCTTTGCATGATTTTTTTTTGCTTGAATATAGTGAATTTCACTTAATACAATGTCAGGGTATGATAGTCATAAAAAGTAAAAAAATCGTAAAATCGTAAAATCGTTCAATTTTTCCGACACACTCCTACAACTAAATAATGAAAGATATGTTTCTTTCTGAGTGCAATATATTCCTCAATACTAGATCTCTAAATCATTTAATGTAGTCAATACACTGTTTTTGAAGTTTTGAATTGTATATTAGAAGCACCACAATATTATGAATTAACGCAGCCGAACTCAATAACTACTGTTGCGTATCGAATATATTCTTGCTTCAGAAACCGGAAACGAGTTCAAATTATTCTCGGTAATATACGATTTCGTTAATCTTTTTATAACAATTCAGCACAGCACCCTGAATTCAAATGAAGAGTCATTTTCATTTTAAACGTATCTATTTAAAAAAGTAAAGATAGACATATGTTTTTATCGGACCTCTCGCACTTCAGTGGGTGAGTTTAATTCAAGTGTGGGCTGAACTGTTAATAAGAGTGATGTTGCAATCTTCTCTATAATATGCTAAGGAGAAATGACGGTTTTTGAAGTTATTAAGGAACCATTGATCTATAATAGTGCTAATTCTGAATAGGAATGACTCCTCAGTCCCCCAGATCTGCATCAAATATTTACATTTAGATTTAGATTTATTCAGTCAAAAAACAGTAAAAACTGTATGTGACGTAGGGGGAAGAAGACGTTTTCTTGAGTTCCAGAATCCCTTCCCGTCATTTTAACTATAAATAGTTGAAAGATGAGTAACAGTTTAACATAAATAAATAAAATAAATTTTAAAAATCGCAAGATTAGCAATATTTGAAAAAATATTCATTTTCGTTTCTAAGTTATAGAAAACTTATTTTTATCGGTACACGAATTACAAGTATGATTTTCCTGCATTGCTAACAAGATAGCAACTCTCCCTTACCTCTACTCTTACCATTACAAGGAAAAGGAGAGTTCAACAAAACGTGCGCATAGTGAAGCTACATTTACGTCCAGAAGCGAAACAAGGGGCCATCTCAGCATTTGCTCAATGGATCAGGGAAATTGGGCAATAACCTGATCGAGATGGGGGTCATTGACCCGGAAGCTGAAGTACATTATTTGTTACAAACATTTCAAGTCTTTTAAAAAAATATACAATACAATACAAATGTAAACTTCTTTTCGTTATATATCATATATATCATTATATATCATATAATGAATAGACTTAAAACGAAAGAAATGGAAGTTTGCAGACTATCACAGAGTACTGTAACGCTCATTACAATCTCGCAGAAGTCAGAAACTATGCGTTTTAGACCCTTAAAACCAGTTATTTTGAGTCCGTAAAAGGACATTCATTTTGTGAGAATAATTGAATTTTGCGAGTGCAGTTGACTTTTGTGAGGACATGAGTTTTATGGAGATATTCAAGGGGGCGTATGGGGGACAGGTGAGGAGAGATGGGGAAACTGCAGAGCACAATTAGAGGAGAGACAAAATGAGTGAACTGTTTTAAACCTTGTACTACATTTTTGGAAATTTAGTTTTTTAGGGGGGCACTTCTTTGTAGTATTGGTAGTCAGAAACAAGCATCTCGAAATATAGTATGTAAAAATTAAACTGAAGGAATAAAGAGATAATTTTATTTACCTTACGGGTTATTATGCGGGGACACCCATTGGCCGTAGTTCCGCACCAGTGTACAGTAGAGTCGCGGTAATCCGACCCTCGTAAACCCGAGCCTCGCTAATCCGCGATTCTGTGCAGTCCGAAAAAAGCCCGATGTACGCCAAGTCATCAAACAAGCAAACATGCGGCGATAATCAAGAGCTGGCTCTTGACGAGATGGAAACACTGAGTCGAAAGCCATGTGTGAGGCGGACGGTGTCAGTGTCAGTCCGTCTGCTACATTGTTGTGCCCAGATAGGGCTCATGTATGTATCTGCAATTTTAATAGTATCTGCACATTCAATTTGACATCGGTATACATAGTAGTTGAAAATCCCGTTATGTATTTTCTTTTGTTTTGTGTAATCCGAGTTTATTTTTGTAATACGAGGTTTCATTAGCCCTAATTTCCTCGGATTATCGCGACTTTACTGTATTCAATCCAGGCTTGTTTTGAAGCCTTCCTCTGGTGCGCGTATAGGGGACCTGCTTGAAGCAAGTGTGCCCTGTGAGCGGTCCCTTAAATACCGGAGTATGATTCTCACACTGTCCCCAGATATCGGTCTCAGTTAACTATATCTGTGCTTTCTGGCTGGGAGACCTCGATAGGACGGGAAATTGTCGACGGTATTATTTAATTTTGCCGGGGACCTGCCAGCGTCCTTTCACATGTCACAAACATGTCACTGTGAGATTTTCTGTCCTGTCGAAAATGCACGCGCCTGGATACACGCACCCGAAATCGAACCCACGCAGTGGGGATTCAGAGCCAATAAGTTAAACACTCGTCCACTGAGGCGCGCAGAGACAGACATAATATTACGCGATAAAATTAACGTGATTATTTGTCTTTCTGTGAATCTCCACGCTTAGTAATGTTTGATTGATGATTCCAGCCATGTCAAGTGCTATGGTCAGTAGTTTTATTAGCATAGGGCTTGTTATATTTGGAGACGTGGTGGGGTTCCTCCCCAGCTGGAACGTGCGATCGGCTGCTGACCTACACGACGGCTTCCACTGATCTCCCCTCAGCCGGGCACCGACCCAAGCGGGACAAATTGCAAGTTCCCGAGCGATCTCCCGACATATAATAATAATAATAATAATAATAATAATAATAATAATAATAATAATAATAATAATGTCTTTATTAATGGCGAGGCTCAGGCCATAGGGCCTGCTCTTCCGCCTAACCACTGAATTTACATACATTTAGATTAGTAACATTTTAAGAGGGGATGACAAGCTGTACATTTACGTCTGGGAGAACAAACCTAGGGACCATCCCGGCATACGCCTTAAGCGATTGAGTAAACCCAGAAAAACCTCAATCAGGATGGCGGCTTAGGGCCGAACATTAATAGTACTGAGTAAGTTGTACATAGTAGTGAAAGGGAAGTTTCGTAAAAGAGAAAAGAAGAGACGTTCAGGGGAAGGGGTCTAAAATTAAAAATGATAAAATTTGTGAGGAAGAGGGAAGAGAAAAGAAGCGAAGAAAAGGACGAAGAAGAAGTAGGCGAAAAAAGTGAAGTTATTTGAGGAACGTTAGAGAAAGCTACGTTTAGTTTACGGTAGCTTTTTACATAAATATACAATAATTTTAACACCAAAGAAGCACAATACACTGTAAGCAAATAACAACAGTAATTTTAAACACAATACTGGCAGTACTAAGGAACAATACAAAGAGTGCTGGTATCTTAACATCAATTTTGTTTATGCCAATATATTGTAGTAAATATCCTGATGGTACAAAGATAGCTACAAGTATATTTTATCTGGAACGTCACTAATATTTTTGTATATTTTAATAACAATTTCGTTAGGGTATGTATGGCCGTGTAGTGTATGGTGTGCGCGTGGGTGTGTAAGGAGAAACGATGGGACCAGGAAGGAAAGACAGTGCGCGGTCCATGGCCCATTTGTTATTGTACTACTCTGTCATTCGCTGGCATTGATAGGAGAAACCTCGAAAATATACCGATCAGAGCACCCGCCCAGTAGAACTCTCCTCCAGATAGAGGCTGAATTCAACCTAGCTCTACAGCTAGTGTCGAAAATCCGTCGCCGTAGGGGCTCAAACCCTAGGACGTGTTGGTCCGTGTCGCTTGCGAGGAAGCGGTAATGCTGGCTCTGAGCTAAATTAGCCGGGAAAGCAATATTAGGATGTTACTCATGCACAATACAAGACGTACAATGTTCTCACGCACAGTTCGGGGGTTGGTCGTTCAAAGTACGATGTAGGATTCTTCACGTTTAAAAAATAATCAAGAAAGTGCGTTATACTCGCATGGTCCAACTCGTATTATAATATTATGTGACTATTACCAATAATACGAGAACATAGCATCACTAGTTTAGTATTGTTATTCTGGCACATATGATTTTGTACAGCAGTAATAATTTTTCAGGATTGAAAATATGATTAATTACAATGAGAAGATAGATTTATACGAAAATGACTATCCGGAATTGATCGCCAATGAAAAAGATACTCAGTTACCAGAAACTATCATGTATGAAGAGTATGAGACGTTCATTGATATAAAAAAATGCGCTGGTAAAATGATATCATGCGCTGTATGGCACCCGACTTTATCAGGTAAGTATTTTGTGCTAACAACGACATTGGAAAACGCGATTCATACTATTGTTTTTTAAACGTTCTAATGTACGAATTAAAGGAAATGAAACCATGACTTTATTGAGTTTCCTATATCAAATCATATTTTGCTTGAGGTACTCAACTATGGGAATTGGTTAGTATGACAGCGTCATTAATAGCTTTTGAAAAGAGAAGAAACGAGAAGAAAATTTCATTTTTATTTTGCATCATTTAGTCCAGGCATGTTAAAATGCGCCCCCACGAGCTGCTTGCCTTCACAGGAAGTCCGACGCTCCTACGAGCACAAACTTCTCCAGACTCAGCTCTCATTTCCTCTCCAAATCCAGAAAGGGCAAGCTTTAGCAGGAAAGTTAAGCACAAAGCGCGCTCGAAAATCACGAAGAATGTACTTGCCGGACGTTTCCTGGCAAATGAGATTCAAGTAATGATTACAATGTACTTCGGTACTTACTACTTCGTTACTTACTACTTCATTTCACACAAATGTATTTTATTTTTAAAATTTGCCTTGCGTAATCAGTTTTGTAGGGACACGATAATATTTGAAATGAAAATTATTTCCTGTTTTCTGTTGTCGTATGTTCATGTTTCATTGAATGATTATACTCTTTACTGTGTACAGCAATAACATAAAATAACTGACAAGTCTTTATGTAGTCTATTTTATCTAATGAAAGCTTCTCTTATATTCAGTATGTCTCTCTTAAGGGCGGACAGTTGTTTTAACAATTTTGTTTCCAAACTCAACGTTTGGAGTACAATTATCCCACGCTTCAGTAAATGCGATTCCAAAATCAATAACATTTCCATTCAACAGGTTTAATTTTACTCTAATGTTATGAGTTCAAATATCCCTCATGTACTTCATTTTAATGGATAATTTCTTTGCTTCATTAGAGGAAATTAGAATTAATATCTCTAAATTTGGGAGAATAACTGTCAACTGACTTCTCCAAACAACAGTCATGTCAGGTATCCAGTTCGATGTTCTGTCAGCCGTCGCAATGTGTCAACGCTCGGTCAACCGGGAATAATTGTACAATCCTTCCTTTTAAATTCCACGTCACCTGCTCTGGACATAGTGCTCGCTTGATTTGGTGTCTCATAGAGAAATTCTCCCCAAACGTAAATATGAATCTCCATTTGGCCAGGGCCCTGATATCTTTGGGTCCTGATATCCCTGATATCTTTGGGTCAACATTTTCTCTGACGAACACGTGCACAGGCAAGTGGCTTCAAATTATTTCGCAAAATGAATGGCGTTATAATTCCTATGATTGAATACTTTCAATGTATTTTCACATATAGGTTCTTAATAAAATTTTGGTTGATTTTCTTAGTGTTTTCGAGTTTTCAAACCATTGATGCAAACTTAAACCAACCTCTTTCACGTGGAAGATAAATATAAATATCTCAGAGATCTAAATATCTTGGAGAAAGAGAAATATCTCAGAGATGTTTCAGTAAGGAAATGTAGAATATCTAAAATTTAAATTAGTTTCCGAATTTTTATATTTGTAATCTACGTGTTGACAATTCTTCTAAATATAAAGTGTTGGTAGCGTAAATCTAGAGTTTTGCCGTGACCTTTAATTTATATTTTTTCCTTCAAGGTGTTGTGGCTATTGCTTACGTCCGACAACCTCAATTTTTGTACAGTCGCAATAAATACGAAACAAATGGAAATGAAGAGCAGATCGATAAAGTTTTGGAAGATGTGTTCGATGAGAACTTCGTCTTAATTTGGTCTGTCACAGATAAATTTTCCCCAAAGGTAAATGTGAATTGTAGATATATGAATAAGTCAAATAACACGGCGGTGAAGTAGTTTTAATTGGTATTTGTTCAGTCCTAACGACCGATTAGGAGGAATGAAATAGATGAATTCCCTCATCCCTATCTGCAAATAATTTTAATACGGAGTTTGAGTCTGTGGATGGTATAAGCATTTTTATATCTATCAATCCCTACAGTAGAAAATAATGAACTCCTTCGTGCTTAGAAATCCTAAACAATTAATGATTAAGAAATGTTTACATGATCCCTAAAGTGTCATAAGTCCCACTTAATCTTCTTACATATCTAGTAACTGCAGCAAGAACAGTATTATCTGCAATAAGATATCACCCATAAAGATGTAGACTAGAAGCCTCCCGAATACCAAACAGATTTTTTCAAAGGTGCGTACTAAAAGTCAAACAGAGTCAACAAAACCTTTTGATTAACAACAACCGAATAACCAAGGTAGCTTGTAGTAACTATTAATACTGACATTTTCTTTGTATTAATTTGTTTTGCACGTGAAGTTCAGGTTTTCTTTTTATGGATCTATTTCGTCTGCAAATTCTCTTTCCGAAATGTTTTTTTTCTTTGTTCCTCCATAACCCATTCACATTCCTTGCTAACGAGAAATTTTCTGTTTATTTTGTCAAGAAAAAGGTATCAAAATTGATAATGCCACTGTCAATTTACATCCTGGATTCGAATAAAGCGAACGCGTTGGACTCGCTTCATTAAGCAGACCTTCTCTCGCCTGAAAGATGACCGCAAGTTTGGTCTGTCCCGGATGGAGAGGTCGCTTGCTGCTTAGCACCTCTCCCTGCCTGTATCCTTCTGCAACGTTGGCCACCTGCCGAGGGGGGGAGGGGCATGCATTACACTTACGGGACTAATGACCTTAGCAGTTGCCGGGTCCGGAATCACTGAGTCAATCAATCACGAACATATCGGCAACAAAGTTGCATTAAAGAAAAAAACTAATTAATTTATAAAAAATATAAAGAAATATCTGTACTGTAAGTACGGCCACTCCAAAAGCAATGCACAACAGTTTTTCAAACATTCAATTTATTTTCTATACCTTTCCTATTTTTGCAGTATGTTGATCCACATTTGAGGAACGAAATGTCACTTCTCCACATAATCTGTGTTTCTTTCTACTGCCTTACGACACCTTAGAAGAAAGACATGTATACCCGCACGTAGAAGCCTGGGAGTCATCATCACCTGAAACCTTTCTGGCAGAAACATTTCTCAATTGCAATTTTTTCAATATTCTTCCCATCTTCCTTCTCTCTCCTCTTTCATTGTCAATTCTTGCACGTTTTTTTTTTGTCAGCCAAAATGAGTTTGTAAATGAGCTGCACATTGTCAGGAGAATGTGAAGAGCGCGATCTCCCTCTGCGCCGGAAATCCTGAGTATTCGCTTGGCCAGATTCATCAGATAATCTATAATCTCAGCAACCAACTGTACAGCGGTCAACAGCATCAGCTCCATACACATTTTTTAACATCTTGTGAATGTTTGTCACTGTCTCGTTCTCACAGCACGTTGCTTCTGACGAACATGTAATGTAGCAGCCATCTTAAACGAGTGCTGCTACAAGAGCAACACTTGCGGAATCATGTTGGGCTAAACTTGAATTCAAGCGAGAAGAATGATACTTCGAAATTTGCAAAGAACAAAGATGCAGAAAAGAAAATGAATTTAAAAAAGTGATTACTTTTAGAGTGACCTACGTATACGTAGTTTTCGACCTTTTTTAGAGCAGATGTAGTTGCATTGTCTTTTAATGGCGTAATGTATTGTACTTTTGTTCAAACCTTCTACCCTTCGAATCTCTTCTCCTTCAATAGCTATATTTTTCCTCTCATTTATCATTCTTGTATTTATATCAATAAAATATATTTTAATTGTCTTAATGCAAATAGAAATTTAATTAAAAGTAATTAAGATTTTTCCAGGGGTATTTCGAGCCCGGCTAATCCTGTTGACAAAGTTTGATGTAATGTGATTAAAAAAGTATTTAAACTTGATACTGCATTGATACTCCAAATTATACGTCATTTTCGATGAAAATTATAAGATTTAAAACCGTATCACTAAATGTTATATAGAATTACTTTTTTAAATACAATAATAAAATAATAGGCAATAATACCGAAGAACCTATTGAAAATGTTTGTATTGACTTTGTTTCATTAATTTGTATTCAAATTAAATTTCATAAAATAATAATAATTGTTTTATTTTTATTTGCATTTATGAGAGGGAATATTAAATTATTGAATCACAGGAACAAAGTAGATCTATTAATATTAATCTAAAAACGATGGTTTTGTGTTGTAAATGTTCTAGCTGTATTTGGAGAGCCCTCGAGAAATTCACTGTCTCCAGTTCTCACCAGTGAATGGAAATATTTTGGTTGGAGGATTAGTCAATGGCCAAATAATCGTATGGGATATAGGAGAACATCTAGAAGGAATTCAAGAAATATCTTTTACTTTGGAACTATCTTCCAAAAATCAGCGTGCTATTGTAAGACCTCGTTACTTACAAATTTAAATACTGGTAATATAAATATTAATTACTACCTCAGGGTAAAAGAGTACACACAATCAAATGTCTTGTCAGCAGATATTAGAAGAAAATAATATAATTTATTTTTATTCGTTTGATATACAGGTGAGTCATTTCAGGTGAGAAAGAGCACACCATCTTCTCCTCAATTACATGAACAGACGCATCTTACGTCATTTTGTTGAAAATCACTTCGTTACTGCACAGCAGCTTCTTGATTTATCTTCTTATGACGTCCAGAAGATAACGCTTACATTGAATCGAAGCGCTGGGAATATGTTTAAGTATTGCTGAAAAAAAACTTTTATTGTATACAAACTACCAAAACTGCAAATTTGGGAATTGACGGAATTGGAGGGTGGCAAACTACGACACGCTATGTCGTCATGCGCAGCCCTATGATCACGTCGAACCTCGTTAGTCGACTGTTACAATTATTAAACACTCTCTGTTCATAAATTACTCAAATTACTTATGTAATGACCTGACATGGCCAATATAATTCATTACTTCCACGCTTTCATTCCAACTTAAAAGGTATTTCTTCTTATACAGAAAATTAAACATTTCTCGGAAAAGCAATACTTGGATAACACGAGGAATTAGAACAACATGTAAAAACAAATTCTTTATTTCATTTCTAAACATCATAATATATCTCATGATTTATAAATCTACTTTCAAAGTACAAATCACTGCTAAAGTAAGTCAAAAGGCGGCCTAAAATCATGAAACACGATCAGGATATGTATAACAAATAACAAAACAAAAGCAATGTGAAATATAGTAAAAATATACAACAAAATGAACCAGAAACCTTGTAGAAAATGTCGTTTTAGAAGATAATCATGTAGAAGAGAACGATCCGGCTACAAAGGCCTGTCAACCAATATTTTTTGAGAATTGCCGGTTGACCTTACGGAGGATCTAAGGCACAAAATTAAACAACGTTTCCGCAAAATTTCTGAAATTATGTTTATTTCCGAAATTCTTTTTATGAAATTCTCAGACTAATCGGTAAACTAAAAGGTAATTATTTCCCCGGTTCAGATGAATTTCCGGATTGTTTGTTAGAGTTGTGCCCCTGCTATTATACATCCATTAACAGGATTATAATAAGGATTCCTTAATAAATATTATAAATACTTTTTTTTACGTACGAATGTAAACCTTTTTTAGTAAATACGAGTGTTCAGATTGCCAATATGAATTTAGAAAATAAAAGTCCATCGAAACAGCCTTATTTTAATTTCTTAATGGCCTTCCTTCTTCGATGGCTGAAGATCAAGCTCCTATTGGAAGATCTCTCAAAAGCATTTGATGACACTGATCATATTATTTTACTTTCAAAATTACCTTTGTAGGTAATGCAACTGGATTGATTATGTTCGTACCTTAAAACACGATCTCAGAGTAGAAATTCCGTACTGGAGGAAAAGGGACATTGTTTACACACTTTCTGCATTCATTGGCAATTGTTAATTGGATCCCGCAGGGTTCCATGTTAGGCCTATTCTCTTCCCATTATACGTAAGCGACATGCCCTTGGCGCTTCGGAATGGAAGAACAGTTATCTTTCCTGATGATATAAATATTCTTAGAATAAGAAGACTGTAACTAGTACAATATTAGATGTTTAAAATCAGATTAAATCGTTGGCTCAGGGCATCAACTGATGTCTCTGCAGTGTGCAGTGCTGCTGATGCACTCAGGCTCTTCCAGTCTCTGACTGGGAGAGCCTGAGGTTCGAGTCCCGACAGTTGCAGGATTTTGGACACTAGCTTGTCAGTTAGGTCGAATTCAACCGCTGTGTGGAGGACAATTCTTGCGGCCGGCTGCTCTGATCGGCAGTTTTCCGTAGTTTCTCCAATCGAAACCAGACGAATGCCGAACAGTACCCTAATAAACAGGCCTCGGACCACGCGCAATCTTTTCTTCATCTTCCTGTTTCCTTACCTCTTAGTTACACCCACGTACACTCACTTGCACTACACTACCACACATAGGGAGACCAGTCGGGAACTTAGAGTTTGTTTCGGCTGGGTTGGTGCAACGCTGGTGGGAGATACCTCTTTGGGGAAAATCCTCGCGCACCGTCGTAGGTCGGCGCCGGTTCTCGCAAGATCACAGCCATCTCTCACGATAACAACACGCACTACTCTTACAGGGCTAATTACCTTAGCCGTTGACGCGCCCTGAATCACTAAACAATCAATCAAATTAATAGAAGGAAGGGAAAACTGTTGCAGTGAAGTTTTCCATTTCAAATAAGCAATTGTAAGTGGCGTAACGTTCGGACACGCAAGGCCCGAATTGCGGACGGCCACAGGTAGAAGAGTACCTACTTTTAGGAGATATTTTCATTACATTAGATACTACTAACACTACTTGTGTTTGCTACACACTTTTATAAAGGGGGTAAAAGGTTTGTGGGCGGGGCCGCGCTCATTTCGTTACGCAAATGACTTTAGTGAATATGCACAATATACAATTGATGTTAAGGTAATAACATTTTTGGATCTCTCAATTCAATGAAACTTAATGTGGAATAACAATGAAAATGAATTGAACACAAAATTGCCTTTATTATGCTCCTCGTTCTTAATTATTTCAAATTCAGTCTACATTCGTACTGGTCGGTGTATTTCGCAAATATTCATTCCTGCGTGAGAGATGACATAATATTCTGGGGAAATACACCCTATAGTTCCCAGACTTTGTGATTACAGAAACGAATTGTATGAATAATAAGCAAATGCAACCCACGTGATACAATTCTAAGACTTTCTATATTAAGAAAAAATCTACCATCGTCTTGCCTGGTGCTTTACGAATCAGTGTGTTCGGTAAAAAATGACTTACCCAAGGACGGGAACATATTTTCAAGCAATATCTATAAGTAAATACTCGACATAGTAATCATACTGATTTGGTGTCAGTACAAAAAAGCACATACGTTAATTTACAGCACTTTCATTATTTTACAATTACTGCCAGGTGACATTAAATAATTAAAATCAATAATACTCAAGTTTAAGAGTCATATAAAATATTTTCTGCAGCACAGCTGTGTCTATACAATTGGAGACTACACGGAGCATTAAAAAGGATGATAATACTGTTTTTAGCAATGATATTTAACGAATTCGTTTCTATTTGGACTGTATAATTCCAATAGTCTAATTATATCTGTAACAAGCATCTATTGTACCTCAGCTTCTTCAATGACCCCCATCTCGGTCAGGTTTTTGTCGGGTTTTCCTGATCCCTTGAGTGAATGTTGAGAAGGCCCTAATTTTGCTTCTGGAGATAAATGAAACTTCACTAACTATGCGCGTTTTCTTGATCTCTATGAGGAATTTAAATATTTAAATAATCATTCTCCATTTTCTCGCGGCAGTAAACTGATTCCTTAATGTGGAGCACCAGAGATAACATCCTAATTCTGAACCTGGTTCGCCTTTACAAATATATTTTTTTATTACATGGGAGCGAATATTTTTATCCAAATTCTTGCCAAAAACGGTCGATGCTATCTGTATTCATGATTCAAATGAATATGTATATGAATAAGAGCAGAGATCACAGAGCTCAAGAAACCAAGCACATATTGCACTTCTCCCCATACGTCGTCATACAGTTTTTAACGTTAAATAAATAAATAAAAGACCTCATGAGTCTGACGTTCCGCTGACTGCGACCGCATGGGCTGCGACGAAATCGGAAATCACTAAAAGCGCTTTCTATTGGAATCTATACTTGTGAGTCCAAAGCGGTAAAGGAATTATTTATTTCTAGATAGAATATAGATATAATGCTACTACTTATAATAATAAGAGGAACACATTGATTTTTTTTTTCATCTGAGAAATCTTGTATAATTTTCAGTGTTTCAACTTTGTGTTCTTATATGTTTAGGCAGCTCATCTAAGATGGATGAAAGCAAAGAAACCAAAAACATACATACCACCTTGTGCTATTTCTTCATTACAGTCTTCTCATACAACTTGTGTGATGGGAATCCAGTGGGTGTCCCCCTTTTGGCATGTACGTAAATTGAATTTTCTGAAGTTGTGATTGAAACAGGCTTTCTATAGTGTTTGTTTCTAACATCAGGTCACAGAATCAGGAGACTTTTTGCGCTTAAAAGGCAGTACTCGATCTCAGGAGTTCATAACTTGTGCTCATGATGGTTGTGTTAATTTTTGGGATTTAAAAAATATGAAGGCAGAAATAAAACTCAAATCTCACCCAAGAAAGGAATCTGCAAGACGAACTGGTGGAAAGTCTCAATTGATACCAAAACTCACACCTCATTTTAAGGTATTATATAACAGATTCTGATTGTTTGTTTTTAGTTTATGTGTGTGTGTGCGTGCGTGCGTGCGTGCGTGCGAGCGAGCGAGCGTGCGTGCGTGCGAGCGAGCGTGCGTGCGTGCGTGCGTGTGTGTGTATTTAATGTATTAAATTTATCATTGACTCTGATTTTATGGGAAACTACAGGAACTACAGAAACTACAGGAACATAAACATTCATTTACAACTAAATTATAGCAAAATAATGTGTTGTTTGTTCTGAAATTATGGTATTTCTGAATACTAAATCAATATTTTGTTAATTCCCAATGATATTTTGAAGAATATATCATATTCAAATATTGTTTTCTTAACACAGTATGAAATATCAGAAACATAGTTTTCAGCTGAACTGACAATGTTCTGTACACTATTCCCAAAAATTAAAACTTGGTGGAATATATTTGGATTACATCCAAACTAGTAAAACTAACCATGATAATACAGAATCAGACAATTCACATTTTATTAATATATGGACATAATGAAGGAAACATAGGAGAGACAAGAAAACTGTAGTATGAAGAAGTACAGGAAAACCTCAATAAAATCAACAAGAAAGATCAAATAATAATCATGGGGGACCTCAATGCAAGAATTGGAAAGGCAAAAAAATTGAAGGATGCAGGGGAACAGAAGGAGAGAAAACCATAAACTGGATACTATCTACTAAAAATAAAATAAATAATGGAAAAGAATTAATAAACTTTTGGAACTTCAATAACCTGAAAATTACAAACCTACAACAGAATAAACAAGGGGATGAAATAGTAATGGAAGAAAAAGAAAATGTAATATGCAACCTGAAGAATGGGAAGGGAGCAGGAATAGATGGGATAAAATCAGAAATGATAAAATATAGAGGACAGGAACGTAAAATCCAATTACTAAAACTAACAAATGAGATAAAGAACCATAAAACAGAACCCCAAGAATGGACGACTTCAATAGTGTACACCATCTTCAAAAAAAGGAAGAAGGAAAAGTTGGAAGGAGCATAGGCGTGATACCAGTAACAAAAAATAATTGAAAACTTAATAAGACAAAGACTAATCAAAGTTGAAAAAGAAAAAATCATGGAAGAAAAATGTGGTTTTCACAAGGGGAGTAGTACAATAGATGAAATATCAACAGATTATAGAAAAAAGGAAAGAACATAACTAACCAACATATATACTATTGATATGTCTAAGAAAAGGCCTATGACAATTTGAATAGGAAGAAGTTATGGAAAATTCTGTAAGAAGAAACAGTGCCTCAATACTTAATCAAAAATATACAAAGCCTGTACCAAGATTTCCAAAATAGTTATTCAAAAAGACCAAGGCACAACACAGCAGATGAAGATCAACAAAGGTCTAAGACAAGGATGTACTCTGTCACCACTACTTGTTTACATTTACTTAAAACTCATCACAAAAAAATGGAAACAGAATGCTCAAGCAGGAATAAAGATAACAAACAACCACAAATAAGTGACAATATTATTTGCAGATTACTAAGTTATAATAAAAGACTCAGAATGAACACCACAGAGGGCAGTCTTTGAATTAAGCAAAATAAGCAAAGAATATCAAATGAAAATATCAAGTCAGAAAACTAAAACGCTAGCCTTCTATGGCAAAGAACATCTTACAGCAACAATTGTAATAGAAAATTCAATTATTGAACAAGTTATCACTTTTCAATATCTTGGAAATTCAATTGGATTGAAACAGAAGGATATAAAAGAAAAAATACAAAAATATAATAAAAACAATGGTATAATAAAGACATTTTGGACATTTGAGAAAAGAAACAATGACAATCCATTATATTACATCAAAACCAATGCTAAAGTGTAGTTCAGAAATGTGGATAATGGGCATAAAGGAAACCAGAAGCACAGAAGTAGCTCAAATGAAGTTTTTAAGGGCAGTGTTAGGAGTAACAAGAAGGGACAGAATTCAAAATGAAAGAACTGAAAACGGGAAACTTAGCAGAAGACATAAAAAATTACCAAAGTAATGGAGAAAACATATGGAGAGAATGGACAAACTATGTGTACCACGGACAGCATTAAATTATAGACTGAATTACAAGAGAGATAGACAAACCGACATGGTGATGGCACCAGCAGGAACACTTCACCACATGAAGGAATACTGCTTTACTACCCTCTAACAGGACAGGAGCACGGCTTCTAAAGTGAAGGTGTTGATGAGGATGATGATGTAAGCTTGATATTATTAAATTAATTAAAACTAGCATATTTACTTAGCCTACAGAAAACTACAAAACATAAATATACAAGAAAACTTACGTAATAATTTCGGTGGTAAATGTTTACAATGCCTTGTAGAAATTCTTTCATTGTATCATCATCATGAACTTTTCTTCTCCACATGTGCTGACATAAATACAAGTTCCAGTAATTTTGAACTTTTTTTGCAAACACACCTGGTTTGCTTTCAAATAACTTCATGGAAAAAAAACAAACACATTCAAATTCTCCATCACAGTAAATCTAACAATTCTATAGAAAAATACAAGAAGTACAAGATAAGTAGTACCATGCCAAAAAGAAAACTCACCGAATATCATACACACATACAATATTTATCATGAAAAAATAACATTCATTACCATTAGAAGCGATACAATGGGTCGTGAATATATTTTTATATTAAATTCCCAATACAAGACTAATGCCATGATTCATTCTATTGACTTATTTACTGAATGTGCACTGTTAACTTCTTATTATCCTAAATCTTTTCCAGAAACCTACTATGAACGAAAGTTATCAAATATGTTGGATACTTAAGCATGTGATTTAGCTTAGTTTTTGATGTGGTTAGTAAAGCATTTGCCTCTATAAGCTAAAAAAATTAATTTACAATAATTATATGTTTTATGAATTTTAATAATCATGATGAAGTTGTAATGATTTTAAAATGCTATGATTTACAAAATTAATTGAGCAGTATGAGTATAAAATATAATCATTTTCAAGAGCATACTTTGAAGATGTAATCTTGTGAACATTTTTAATGAAAGAATTTAATTAGTTTTCATAAAAATGACAATAAACAGGGACCAAATATGAGCCATCAATTGTAATAGCTCAAAAACTGCTATTTGGATATTATCATCTTTTGGACTCAAGCCTTTCATTTCTTCACTTAAAATGAATGAACTGCATTTAACTTGATAAATATATATTTTTTAAAATGAAAATGAAAATTTCTGTGTATTTTTTTTTTTTTTTATTTGTTCCCCTTAAACTTTCCTATTTCCTAATGTAATAGTGTCTGAATAAACCTTTTATCTATGTTTAGTTTTGGTTCTTGACAGCTCTGGTAGACTTTCATTAATCTTTTGAATGTATTCATCTCATTTTTCAAAAATTGAAAATTTAATAGTTTAAAACTATTATTGGCTGTTAAAAACTTTTCTATTCATTGTTACTTAAGGTATTTAGTATAATAAATCATTCCTCTTCATTCAAATGTATTAGTACAACTGATGTTCTTTTTAAGACGTAAATTGAAATCTTACAAACTCAACCTGTTGTAGGTATTATTTTAATATGTTGCGATATATTATCATTCTCTTAACATGTATTTACTGTATATATTTTCTTCAAGATATTATGAATTGTGAATCTGTAGGTTTTGACACAAGGATCTGAGGCTGCAGAACAAGACAAAGATTTAGATGGTCAGCCTATAGGTGTGCCACTTTGTGTAATGGCAGTTGATTATATACATGTTCCTCGTAAAAAAGAGAAAACTAGTTTGAAGTCTATGAAGCACTTGACTGCAGGAAAGCAGTTAATATCATATCCAAGTTCTCCTGAAATTCCTGATATCAAACCAAAGAGTGATGATGATTCACTTGGTTCTGATAAAAAGGATAAACAACTAAAGGGTATTCTTTTATAAAAATAATTTTTTTTATTTGTTCGAATAAAACTAATGTGTTTAACCTTTCTAATTTTAACTTTGTTAAATTATAAAGTGACAAGGAAACGTGAAATAACCATTCCCAAATCAGAAGTTGTTGTTGGATCACTTGAAGGTGTAGTAACAAAAATTATATGGAATGATTTTGATTCAGACACTGAGCAGACATCAGGACCACAAGGTACATTTTGTAATATTATCAAGTTTTATACCTTTAGAATAGTTTTCTGATGTATATATCATCTCAAACATTTACAAAATATGTCTGTCTCTATAGTATTTAATATGTGGCCTCCATGCAATTGAAAAATTACTGTTACTGATGTGTGAAGAACTTTAATTTTAGTTCTGTTAATGCTATTTTTCAATTATTTGATAAGTACGCTACCTTATTTTCTATTATTTTTGTTATGAATCAAGAATTATGTATGAATGTAATAATTATTATTGTGAATGGAAAGAAGGAGGAAAAAGAAGGGGGAATGTAAATAGTTAAATATGAGTTGTAATTATAATTGTTTTCAGATAAATGTTTCTAATTTTTTTGTAATCTCACTTTATCATTGTGATGAATAATGAAGAAATAAATGATCTTTTGTCTACAAAAATCGGTATATTTTATGTTTTCAGTTGGCACATTTGCTTATTGGGGTGAGGTTCATGATGGGCCAGTTACGTCTTTGGTTCGTTCACCATTTATTCGTGATTTGGTTCTTAGTGTTGGAGGAAAAATATTTGCTCTTTGGATAGAATCAGCAAAGGTACGTTTGTTGATTGTTTCATGTCAATTTTTAAAAAGTTTCAGATTTCACAATATTTTGTTGCCAAATTATTAAATAACACTTAAAACTATCAAAAAAAAAAACCATAAGAATATTCATAAAAATTAATTTAGTACTTTGTAATTATCACTACAAATATTGTGTAGTATGCATTCTCCTTGTTTTAGGGAAACCTTTTGTATCGACGAAAATCATCTGTATTGATGACTTCTGGTTCATGGTCTGTTCATCGTCCAAGCATGTTTTATATCACACGTATAGATGGAAAAATGGAAATTTGGGATTTATTTGTTAAAAGTGATCAAGACTCATTTCATCAGCGTCTGTCAGGGAAATTGTTAACAGGTAGTATTAATGTTATAATTTGGAAACGTGTTTTAAATACTTAATACTACAATTGACTTCGGTTATAGTGAATTTCTGGGGGCTAACATTTGTGAATTACTATATGAGAGGTTCACTATATTGATGATGCCAAAATTAAATAGTGTTTTTTCACAATGATATTTTTTAAATTTTTATTTTATTTTATTGAGAGTATCTCATTACTTTGCATTTGTTATAATTTAAATATAATCCATTATTCATGCACCATAAAACAAGAGAATCCAAGCTTAACTGAAGAGCAGCACTATCATTATGACTTTTAACTCCTGTATAGAATTTTAAGTCATCAGCAAAGAGCAAAAATAAACAAGTGGAGAAACAATTCTTTATATCATTAATAAACAATAGAAAAAGTAAGGGTCCTAGATGGGATCCCTGAGGCACTCCGGATGTTTCATATATATTCCTAGAAACAAAAGACTTGTATTTTAATTTTTGTGTCCTGTCTCTCAAATAGCTACTGATTCACTTCAGGAAAATTCCATGGATACCTGTGTATTGAAGTTTTAATAATAAAATGCTATTAAGAGATTCAAGCACTTTAGCAAAATCTGTACATCAGCATCAACTTGGACCATTCTTCTAAAGTCTCCATAATATATTGCTGTAAAGTTATCAAATTTGTAATTGTTGATTTTTCAACCTCAAACCTTACTGCTCATCAATCAATATGAGGTCCACCTGCTTTGTCAGCTTCTCAGTGACAATAGACTAACAGTTTTGGTATAACACTCATTTTATATATAGGTCTATAATTTACAATCCATGCTCTATTCCTAGATTTGACTATTGGAGTAACATAACTATATTTCCATACTGATGGGAAAACGCTTTCATGTATGGATTAATTAAAAATAAATTGTAAAACTGGTACTAGGGAAATGTTGCAATTTACCAAAAAACCTGGCCCTGGTCTGGTCTTAATATTCTATTTCTTGATTGCCATGTATTCATCATATTGGCTAATATGCATGGAGCTTACATTTATAACAGAATTTTCATAGTGATCATTCAAAGCAACATATGATGACTGAGGAACTGATTCAAAAAAGTCAGCAAATAAATCAATTATTTTATGTCCATTATCAGCCATTTTATCATTAAAAAAACATCAAATGCAATAATTCTTTTGTATTCTTCAAAGTATATGTAATTTTTCAAAATGATTTAACATTATTATTCTTTATTCAGTTTTCAATCTCATTAAAGTAATTCATATAATCTTCTCTAGATTTTCTAGAGATTTCTCTAGAGATCAAGAATTGTCTGATAAAAGTGATCAATGCATAACTACAATGTTTTTGCCATAAAAAATGTAAACCAATTATATGATTTCAAATCGCAATTAATTGTCTCATGATCAGCATTAGAAAAATTATGTTTAGTTTCAGTTTAATCAAGAGTTTGCAAATATTCATCAGTATGGGTAAACCAGGTTTCAAGAACCGCATGATAATCATTACAATTTACTAGTGGACAATCAACTTTCTGTATTAAACATTCCATATCATTAAAAAATCAGTCTAAACTTTTTTTTATCTGTATTTAAAATATCATTTAATGGATAAATATTCAAGTAATTAATGGTGTTTCAAAGAAATGTATTTAGTTGAATTTCAATGTTAAAATCATCATTGAAAAAACAAGAAGTTCCTGTAGCTGTATTTAGCCAAGATGATTTAGGAAAATTATAATCACCAGTTACTAAAAATCATGATGTGGGTAAGTTTAGCACAGAGGCGATATATTATTTTCCAGCAGGGATTTAATTTCCGGGTTGTTGAATTTCCTAGGTTCACTATAGCCAATGTGCAGGTTCACTATAACTGAATCTTCTTATGCTTATTTGTAATGTAAGTGACCAGTGACTTATGTTCACAATAATTGAGGGTTCACTATATCTGTGTTCACTATAACCAGAGTCAACTGTATTTTTTAAATTTATTAAATCAGTGTATAAGAAGCACTTTAACAAATAGGAAAGTGAATAGAATTTTTTTCATGTTAATCTAGGAGTGTATCCTCATATCCATCTGGCACAAAGTATCATTGGTGTGGCTGATACAAATGCTCAGTTTCGTATGCTCTGTGTTCCTAGTCAGCATACAAAGGTGGAACATGATCAAGTAAGCAATAAATAGGGGCGGTGTTGTTTTACTAAGGAGTAATGCACTGTGCAAAAGTATTAATTAATTTAGTTTCTTTAATACAATATCTCTACTATAACAATGAAAATAAGTAGTAACTAGTAGTATTAATCATCATGGATTTTTTAGCAGGAGTTTAAGTTTGGAATCTGCCCCCGCCCCCCCCTTTTTAGTCTTCCTCACTCTCTTCTATCCACAGATAGGTATTTCAGTGCTAGCTTTGGTAGTCTGTTATCTTCCTGTCTTTTCATGTGTTTCAATCATTTTCTTTTGTATTTCTAAATATCACTTATGTTCTTTTCCTTCAATCTTTTTCTGATTTCTACATTTCTTCGTTTCTATGTCCATCTAATTTTGCTTCTCTGGCCAGGTACCTTAGGATCCTCCTTAGGATATTATTAGTATAGTTACATAATAATAACAGTTACCACAGCACTTATGATAATGTATTCTTACTTCTTTGAAGAAATCTTGTGCTAGGAAGATACTAACCAAAGAATTCTAAGCGTGCTTACTGTGAATCAAGCATTTTGATTCTTGCTAAGAGGTTGGCAAATTTCAATGAGAAATATTGTCTGTAAATGACAATAGAGTTGAATTCATGAAATGAATAAGCAGTTTAAGAGATTACACAGCTTGTTGTACTGTCACACTTTATGATTTAATCTTCAGTGTCAAAACAATGCATGCTATTAGAATACAGTTTGTTATATAGATGGAGAAAAGGAAGTAGTGGTGCTTCTTAGTTCGATTATCTCAAATTGTGAAAGTTGTTAAAGAAAGAATGTAAGAAACTGACAATTTGTTAGTTGATTACTGCCACCGTATCTTCAATGCATGGATTGATTGATTAGTGTTTCTGAGCAAGACAATTACTAAGGCCATTGGTCCTGTACTGAAAGTTTTATCATGGGAGGTGGCAGAGATTTTCACCTGCTTGATGGCGAGATCCAGCACCAATCTACACACCAACATGCAAGATTTTCCCTAACTAGTATCTTCCACCAGCAGGTAACAGCCCAAGCAGGGAAATCTCTAAGCTCCCGACTGGTCTCCTGATCTCCTTCTATTAGTGTAGTGCATGTAAGTGTATGTGTGTGTGAGGAGATAGGACAAGGGAAGTACAGAAAAGATCATTCGCAGTCTATAGCCCAATTGTTAGGGTACTGCACTGGCATTCACCTAGTGTTGATTGGAGAAACCATGGAAAACTATTGAAGAGCAGCCAGCCACTATAAATCTCCTCCAGACAGCTGCTGAATTCAACCTAGCTATCGAGCTAGTGTTGAAAATTCTGCCACCATTGGGACTTGGACCCTAGGACCTTCAGGTCAGGGGTACTGCAGTGATCTCAGTTGTTGCTCTGAGCTACCAAAGCCAGTTCATTGTATAGTTTGAAGCTGGGTTACCTTATTGCATGTACTGAATGACATGCTTGAATGTGCAATGAAGCTGCTCTTTCAGTTGAACAACATTATAAAGGATGCAATTATTTGTAATATTAATTTCTGACTTTTGAAATACCTAATACTCTAGTTAATTTTATCTGGAATACTTGTGTTTAATGAATTAATTCATTTGTACAGTAGGTGAATTACAAATTCATATTACCACTTATTTTACTCATTTAACAGTAGAAAGATTCTATCTGCATTGATGAATAGAAAAATAATCATTTGGAAACATATTTTTAACAAATATTCTAGGGTTAATTTTTATTTAAATTTTTAAATGATAAAAATAACAATGATGTATTTCTCTTTTCCGACAGGTTGGCAAATTACATCACTTGATACAACAAGAAATATCTCGTAAAGAATCATTTATTATATGGCAAAAGAACTGGGAAGAAAGAAATGCTGAAATGTTGAAAGCAAGAAGGGAAGCTGCTGAACTGGAAGCCAAAAGACAAGAAGAAGCTGAACGTGAGAAAGCAAGAAAAATAAAAGAACAAAAGAAGAGAAAACAGCAACAACTGGAGGAAAGAAAAAGAAGGTTAGCTGAAATTAGAGCTAAAACATTCACTTGGAAAAAGGATGCTGAGAAGAAATGGACTAAAGAACAAGAAGACTACTTGATTAAAACTCGTCTTAAGCAAAAAAAATTAGACAAAGAAAAATTGCAAATAGAACAAAAACCATATATTTCATCTTTAGAAGAAGAGAAGGCCAAGAAAGCAAAACAAAAAGAAAGATTAAGTCAAAAACAACAAATTTATGAGCAATCAGTCAATTCATGTTTTCCTGAATTAACTGAGGTAAAGTCAATTTAAAATTACATTGATTTTCTCAAATAACTTTTATTTTATGAATATGATTTTTTGATGATACCTTGTTCTATATTGCTGACAAACATTATTTGAAAGAATGTGTTAAACACATAGATGAAAATGTTTTCTGATGAGAATAAATCAACATAAGTTCTGTTTAAATCTATTTTTGTTTCTGTCAAATTTGAAACAAAATTTGGAACAAAACATTCAATAACCTACTGGGTAATGTTTTGCATCTGCATTAAACTGAGTTAATTCCAATTAAATCTAATTGTTTTTATTTAGATAATATATTTTAAAATTTGTATTCAAACATTGCTGCAATTGAAATTTGATTGAAAGAAATGAATTTAATGAAATAATGATAATTATCATTAGTTGACAAAAATTCATTTAATTATTGCAAATTATCATTAGTTTCCATTGTTAACAATTAAGTTCAATGATTAAAATATGTATTGAAAAATGGTAGTTATCCCTAGTCATTGTGTTTAAAACCCAAACTACTAAAATGAAAGATTAAATAATAAAATGATGCCTTATTTTATACTATTTCAGAATTGGAAGTTTGTTTGATGAAAAACTTGGTTTTCAATTGCATATAACGAGTAAAAAGGAGTATACTGTCTATGAATTATTTTCAATTCTTATTTGAAAAGTATTATTAGGTTCAAATACTATAAATATAATTGTTATAGTTTTGATAATCTTGTTTCTTAAAAATAATAGTAGATTTATTATGGAACTTCATACCTTTTTATTTTTAGCTACCAAATTTTATGTCAAGTTTTACTGCCCTTGTATGTTTCATGTCGGTTATTTAGTTACTCAATTAAATTGGACAAATTTTTTGAACTAGTATTTGCATAATATCTCATGAAGTTTTTTTAATTTTTTACTGTTACGCTACCTGCTTTCAATCTAAATTAATCAGTAGTTTGAGATGTCACAGAAAACAATATATATTGTGTCCCCCATGGCAAAAGTGATGGTCATCTCCCCCTTCCCATTTGCATGTATAGTTAACATCATTATAAACCTTTTTAATAAAATGTTTGTAATGATGCTTGTGAAAAATCAAAATGTTTTCATGAATGTGTATATTTTAAAGGATTATAAATTCTTTTTTAATTCTTTTTTTGCTTCCTCTACCCACTCTAAAATTTTCACTCATATCTCTGTCTACCAGCAAAAAAACTCTTTTATTGAATTAATAATTATTGACTTGTTGAGATTGGATACTGTAATAAAATAACCAATTCTAATACAGAATGTTTTGATATACCAAAAAATTATCATAGAAAAAAAATTTAATCAATGATATTTTAATCTATTTGATGTAAATATGATTTAAATAAATGTCAGGTATTATATGATATGAAATGATATAAATAATATTAGTCCTCATTAGATTATTAATCTGTATTTATATTTTTGTTTCCTCCTAGAATGTTAAAAATGGAAATACTTCATCAGAAATTGATATTTTACAAGTAGTAGAAAAAGACATTCTTGATTCAAAACCTTATGAAGATGTTGAAAAGGATGCCTTGATATATATAAAAAATCATCCATTTGAAATGAAATTTAATTGGATACAGTTCCTGAAAGAAGCACATATCAGAGAACGACGTCTACAAGAGGGAATTATTCAGGGATATCTTTCTTCCACTTGAAATAGTATATCTACTGCTCCACATGGTGACTGTCTGAACCTGCCTCAAACATAATGGCTGTATAAAATATTTTAAAAAATGTTTATTTTCATCGTTGATTCACAAGAGATGTAACATATCTCAAAATTGTCATTTTTAATCAAGAGGAGAAATGTGAATAGATAATTCTATTTTTTACTATGAAAAAGATTTTAAATATAGTTGACAAAACAGCTGGTAGATGAGTACATGTTGCCTTATCACATTACTTAGGCCTGAAATAAACTGTTCTGCTCATGATAAAATTGTGTTCCTGCACAATGACAGTATTTAAGTTCTGTTACTTTTCTTGTGAACCAATGATATGAAGATGATACAAAGAAAATGTTTTTGAAGAAATTTGGCACATACTTCTTTATAATAGAGATAGGTACTTAAAATATACTATTTTGAAATATGGAATTGTCTCTAAAAATCAGAAAATCAAGTGAATCTACTTGGTGACTGGCTGTGCTCAAAAATAAAAGTGATGTAATTGTGTTATCCTTTTTTATATTTTTATTCCAACACCACTTTTCAGGTATCACCGCATAGTTCTAACCTTTTTGCTGAAAATGATGTTTTGACATGCTCAAACACTCCCATTGTCAGATGGGAGTTTTCAACTGAGATTTATAACAGTTTTCAACTGATACTTATAGACAAACTTCTATGAACTTTCCCATAGTGCCGTTTGCAGTGCCTATCAATAGCTTTGTTTGCATTTTTCCACATGTTTATCAGACACCTCTAAACTTCAAAATGCTTTCCCATAAAATATGATCAAAGTTAGAATCTTGTCATTCAGAGGCTATGAAATTGCAAATTAGAATCTAAAAAAAATAAATTTTTAGTTAATTGAGTTCAATTCTTATTTTCATTTGGAATAAGACCTGGAGACATTGGCAAACCCAAGGAGGGGGGAGTATTGAGGCATTATCTTCCCCCTCAAGATAATTTCCTCTCATTTTACACAATTTATCCAAACCAATTAACACATGTTGATTGCATCACATTCAAAGGAATTATGATTACATATTTTTATATTGATTTACTTATATATTTATTTATTTATTTATTCATTCATTCATTCATTCATTGTTAATTTATTAATAAATATCTGTTGGTCTTGCGTTGAGCCCTAGAGGGAAAACTAAATAGGTTTTTCTTCTAATCTTGCCGACATGTGTTTCCTTGTTCGAAGATGGCTCCCACGACGCCGTCAAATCCCGGTCTGAGGGCGTCGGGTGACGCAGGCTAAACTTCCCAAAATTCCCCCTCGTCGACGCTTCCCGTCTCCCTCTGCCGCAGTCCCTCGGGGAGCGTCTGGTGGCCGGCCGGCCGCCCTCGCTTCCCCACCACTCCTCGGGAGCTGGCGACTGCTCTTTGCTGTTCCGCCAGTGTTGGCATTAGTTTTCAAAATGTTCTCAGTATTTTAAAATTTGTGGTGAATTAAAAATTAAAATACATTCACAGATTTTTAAAATTTATATCTGCTTGGCCCGAAGGCCCTCAGCAGCCATGATACAATGAAATCACGTGAATAGTATTGACATTGTTTAGGAAACATTGATAGATAATTGTAGGTGGATTAAATGTGAAACCACATTAGGTACATGATGATCAGGGAGGGTCGAAGAACTGTCGCTGTAGTTTTCACTTTACTCTATTGTGGTAAAGAGTTTGTTTCCCAATTTTGAAATGAATGACTGAGGGAATCAGGGGGATTTTGTGATAGAAGCGAGAGGATAGGAGAAAGAAATGGACGGAGATCGGGGTAACGCGACTTCCTCAAGTAACTGGGAGTTAGGTGCAAATCAGAGTGTACATGTATGTGTGAGAGGTAAGGATAGGACAAGGAAGAGAAAAGAATAATCGCGCGTGACCCGTAACCCTTTTGTTTGGGTACTGTTTGTTTGTCTTTCGTTTGATGTTGATCGGAGAATCCACAGAAAAATACCGAACAAAGCAGCAGACCGCTAGAATTCTGCTGCAGGCAGCGGCTGAATTCGATTTGAATAGGTGGTGTCAAAAATTCTGCCACTGTCGAGACTCTAATCCTAGGACCTCCCGGTCAGAGGTACTTCAGGTGCTTCAGTCGATTGCCTGAGCCACCTAAGCAGATAGCTTTTACGAGTGATTCAGTTTGTTCCCTTGTGGGTATGTGACTTATGGGACGTACGAGAAGAATAATCATCTCACTTTTCCTTGGGTTCCAGAATCCCTACCCACTCTAATACTGCACTCGCACGTAGCTAAATGATAAATAAAAGTACAAAACAAAACAACAAATAAAACAAAACCCCAAACAAAAGAAACCAAACCATACAAACCACAAAACAAGCGTGGCTCAACGTTTAGAAACGGAACATAATCGCTCCCGAGTTAAAAAAAAAACAAGCAAAACACACACACACACACACACACACACACACACACACACACACACACACACACACACACACACCTTGGATCGCAGATTCGAACTTCAGAGTTGATTTCATAGTTTGTCTCACAAAATAACAACCCAACCATTGACTCCACTCCTACCACTAGGAAAATAACAACAACAGCAACTGAAGTATAATTCTCGTTAATTGGTCGATTGCTCATACACACGCTACAGCGTGTGAGTCCATTTTCATAATTATTTCCTCCAAGCTTACAGCTCCGGAAGTTCTCTTTAGTTTTGTCCTGTTTAATTTAGTTCTGCTTCTGCCCTCTAAATTACCCACCAAGCCGTTGGCGCTGAAGAGATAGCAGAGAATTGTTAAAAGGAAAAGAACATTGTTTAGAGATAGTTGTATTAGGTAATATAGAGTTATTGCAGTGTTACAGCAGTTATGGTTATGTTCAAGGTAGGATGGGTGCCAGAGTAAATTTATTAAACATAAAATGAAACTATATTGTACTTCAAAGCTTGGAACAACAATGCTCGTCGCTGAAACATCCGCCCGCCCCACGTGTGCCCTCTCACACGCGCACGCCACGCCGCGTTGGCGCTTCGAAGAGCTGGCTGCCGTGCGACGCGCTCGTTCGCACTGCCAGAGCTGGGGCTCCCGTGACTTCCCGCTCTGCGGCACCTCGTGCTGCCTGCGCGGTTTCTGCCCCGTACTCGGGCCGTCCAGGTGCGGGCCTCCGGCTCGCCGCTGCCGGTGCAGTCCTCCAAACCACTGCACCCCGCGCTCGCTTCGCGCTCACTAGGCGCAGGTTCCACCGGCCCTCCTCTGCTGTCTCGTGCCCACTCTCGCCTGACGCTGCCTGCTGTGCTTCCGTGGCTATGGCGACCCGAACGGCTCTCCGTAGGGCTCTGACGCAGCTATTTTTATTTATTTACGCCAAATACGGTTAAAAACTGTGTGTGACGTGCTAAGGGGAAAAGTTAATTTCAAGTTACATTTATGTCCAGAAGCAAAACAAGGAAACAAGGAAACTGGACGAAAATCTGATCGAGATGGGGGTCATTGACCCAGAAGCTGAAGTACAATACTTGTTACAGATTCTTTACAATTATAAATTCAAATTATACATAATACAATAAATGTCATTGTTAAAATTAATATTCCTTTTGGATCGCAGGTCGGTGGGATTTGCTCTACATGTATAGAAACAGTTGTGCAGGAGAAAATATTTTACTTGGGACTCTTAAACTTTTGTATCGATTTTAATCGTTTAATGTCATCTGGCAAGGTGTTGTAAAATAATGTACATGTATTATCTGTGAATTTTTTGTAATTAGCTGTTGATACTGTTACCTGATGAATATGATTACTAAGTCGAGTGTTGTAGTTATAGACAACGGCGTTTGCTGAAAATATATTCCCGCCCTTAAGTAAGTCATTTTTGACAAAAACCACTGATTCATATATGAAGATACAAGGTAATGGTTAAATACCTAGATTAATAAAGAGAGGCTTACAAGAATCACGTGGGTGGGATTTGCTTATTATTCGTACAATTCTTGTTTGTAATCAAAAAGTCTGGCAGCTATAAGATGTATTTCCTCAGAATATTATGCCATATCTCCGGCGGGAATGAACATTCGCGAAATATAGACAACGAGCAGTATGGAGGCTGCCTGAATTTGAAAGAAATTTTGAAAACTTGGCTCTTGCGACTGGATGGCTGTGTGACTAGACGGTCGACTCCTTGACTGCGGTTGCCAACCGCGTCGCCCTACTGCCCGTCGCTCTAGAATTTATCTGTGCAGCTTAGTGAACGCACATTCACACCACTGCGGTGAGACCATTCGTACCCTTACGGGCATCTATTGCCAATCCTGCAACATAAAAAGAAAAGCACCGGGTCAGAATGGCTTTAGCCAACTGGCGCCCGCGTTGCGCAGCACTGCCCGCCGGGGTGCCGGTCAGCCCCTCTTATAGTCCGGCGCCGAGAGATTCGCATCCTAGCTCGGCTCCGTTGGCCTGTGTCCCCGGCTGCTTTCAACGGCATCTAGAGAACACGCACTGCATTGTCGTGTGCGCGCCAACTCAAATGCCACGCCATGTATGTCCTCGACAGAAGACATCGTTTTGTGGGCTCCTAATATTGAAAAAGTGGTTTTTGTCTCCTGTGTATGTGATTCTTTCTCTAATACGTTGTGTAGTCACAATCCACGTTTTGGGAGTCTTTGATACCGAAAAGTTGGTTTATATCAAAACAACTGCCCCTCCGTCTGCCCTTTCTGCCAGCCCGTCCGTCCGTCTGCTCATCCAACTGTCTGCCCGTCTACCCATCTGCTCTACTGCCCGTCCGTCCACCCGTGTGCCCGTCTACTCGTCCATAACAGGTTTGATTTTATTGTCTTAATTTTCGAAAATTATATATGTTCAACCATCTTTTGGAAGCGTTTGGAACGCTTGTGTGCCGACTCAGACGGTCGGTGTTTAGGTTACGTTGACTGCTTGGAAGACCCTTAGGACCATAGATAGAATGCCACACTGTATGTAAAAATGTTTTCGAGTCGCCAACACTTTGTGTGTTCATGTAGTATTATAATATTACGTAACCGTCACAAACAATGCGAGGAAACATGTTCTGTTGAAGCACCACCAGTTTTATCTCATGGCTTGAAATTGCAGGGATA